GACATCGTCGAAAGCTTAGGATCGCGGTTGGTCAGTGGCAGTTACCATGAAAATTTCGGAAGTGTTGCCATGGAAATGGCGTAAGATCCGCCATGTTTTTGGCGACACTTTTTGATCCCGAGCAGGTCCTCCAGTAATATAGTATAGCTCAGTGGTAATTTCCTGCCACATTACGTTGGCCATTTTTGAATAGAGGTATTACTCTAGCCATTTTCCATTCATCAGGGAATGAGGACAGAGTAATGGCCTGATTAAAAATATGTGTTAGTGAATCTGAAATAGCAGGTGAAGCAATCTTAATAATTTTGCAAGAAATTTTGTCGACACCTGTCGCTTTGTTGCTTGAGAGACCAGTCAGAAGTTGGTAGACATGGTTGACCGTGACAGGTTGGAATGCGGTAAATTCTGATTCAGTATTTTTGACATATGTTTCAAAGTTCAAATTTGAAGTATTAATTTGGCTAGCTAAATTTGGGCCAATATTTGAAAAATAATCATTAAAACCCTCTGCAATATCTTTAGGGTTAGTTAAACTATTTCCGCCAAGTTTTAGCTCATTTACGATTGTTGGTTTGTTTTGCCTTCCCAATAAACTGTTTATGGTCTTCCAAGCTTCCTTAGGATTGGACTTATCACCAGCAATTTTCGTGGAATAGTAATCTTTTTTGGCATTTCTTAGCTCTATATTTACTTTATTCCTAGTTCTTTGATAACTTAACCAATCATTTTCGAGGTTCGTAATAATGGCTTTTCTTTTAAGCTTGTCCCTTGTATTAATAAGTTCTTTTATGGAACTTGTAATCCAAGGGACTCGTCTTGTTCTGATCTTTTTGTTTTGAAGGGGTGCATGTTTGTCTAAAACTTCTAAGAATAGCATTTTCCAAATTTCCCACTTTGCATTTGGAGTTTCAGCTAAAAAATACACATTTTCCCACTGTTGTTGCATCAGATCCGCAACAAATTTTTGGGTATCAAATTTCTTCATATTTCTAATTTCAATTGTGTTTTCTAGTTTCTTGATAACAGAGATCTTTCTAATTGCAAAAACTAAGCTATGGTCACTTATTCCAGTATGGATAACACCAGAATCAGAAACTTTTTCTGGAGTATTAGCTATTATGTGGTCAATAAGGGTGGAGGTTGTCATAGTTACTCGGGTAGCTTCCTGAATTAATTGTGACAATTGATACAATTCATATAAAGATTTAATTTTCTTTATCGGCATATTTTCATTACCTGTCTTTAACATATCACAATTTAAATCACCAAGAATATAGAATTCTTTATTTTCATCATCGAAAGCTTTGATTAAGTTTTCAAAATGCTCAAAGAAATCTGCTGATGCATTGGGTGGTCTATAAACTGTTGTGACTAGAAATGGTTTGCTATGTGGTTTGATAATTTCTAAGCAAACAGCCTCTAGTTCAGTGGGAATCAGATAATTTCTTATGTTGTAGTTTATGGAGCTACGCAAGTAGATACATACTCCACCCCCATTTCTTGATCTGTCTTTCCTAATTATATCATAATCATTCAAGTGAAGTATATTATCACTTATACTTGAATCAAGTCGAGTCTCATTGAAAGCAATTTAGCTTATAAAGAAAACCACATCATTGTAAATAGCAAACTTTTTGTATATATTTTAATAATTTTATATTCTGCATGTTAATACTTCCTTATTATTTTACTTGTAACAATTTGTTAATGTTTTTTACACGCCCATTGTGGAAACCAGCTTCTGCTGACAATGTTAGCGTGGTTAAATAAAGTTTATCATCATCATCATCATTGTGCATAAGGTCTATTGGTACGTTACAAAAAAAATCATCATATTTTGATAAGAATGATCTTATGAGTTTGTGTACCCTATAGCCTAATATGCATGAGCATTCATAAATTGGTTATAAGTATGACCTAATCACATGACCAGCACTGTGAATTGATTTTGTAAATTAATTAATACTTTTTGCAAAAATTTAAATTTAGTAATTTTTTTTCAAAAGTTTGATATCGATAAAATATAATTTTGATATTTTTGGGTAAAATATAAAAAAAACCCAGGAGTATTTCAGTAAAACATTTAGTAAAATTTCAAAAATTTGAGTTAGAAAAATATTAAAGACAAAAAAATCTGTATTAGCAAGGATACGTTATTTATATTCGTGGACGTGTAGTAATATATTTTAATTTTGAGTTATTTGCCTGTTTAATTTTGGAGTGGTTGTGGGAGGCCCATGCATATAAAACGATGTACTAACAATATTTCTTATATTTTTGTACCTTGGTATATGATATTTGAAAAATTCGTCATACTTTAATAAGATCATGCATGCAACAAAATACCAACTGCCAAATCAGAAAAGATACTTATAGACTTGTCATACAAAGTGTGAAATATCTATTACTTATTGGTGTTCCCTTTTTATTAATTTCCATATTTTTTGCTTCCAATCTTTTGCTTATATTTTGAAGAAAAGGAAATAGAAAGGCTTTGCTCCTCCCCCATTAAATAGCTAAGATAGGCGCATGCAAAACGCCATTTTCTACCTTCGACAAAAACAGTAATTAAAATAATGGGCACTTCAAGCTTACTACGATTCACTATCAAAGAATAACGAATTAAATCATGATTGGCACAAGTGCGCCCCTTTTTTGTCAAAATGGACAAATACACGTTTTTGGATGGTCTCCAGCCCCGTCAAACACCAAAGGCGTTTTCGTGGACTGTACCTGACCGTGTACAAATCCTCAGTTGTGTGGACTTCATTAAATTAATAGTTGCTTGTGTTTGCACGTTTTATCTCGACTATATCCGTTAGACGACTACTACATTTTACGAACATACCGAATGCAATGTCATTATGTACTAATTGTGCTAAAGGCCCCTCGCCTTTAACTCCAATGGAATAGGGCCCCATTTGGAGATACGGGGGGTTATATTCTCGCTAAATGTCATTTAACAGTCATATCCGCGTTTTGTCCCAAAGGATAAAACGCGGACATAATTCAGAAAACGGTTTTCAGCCCTTTATAAGTCATATCCGCGTTTTATCCAAAAGGATCGATAAAACGCGAATACGGGTCAGAAAACGTTTTCAACTCATTGTAAGTCATAACTGCAGTAATAACCGGAGGGAGGGTGGGGGGGGGGGGAGGTTAGAAGTTACCCTATTGGATAAGAGTTGATTGGATTATTCATTGATGAATTTATTTATGTCATGAATAAAGTATGTGTGTAAAAAAACAACTTACTAGAACAGGCCAGTATTTTAACCAGTATAATTAAACTTATAGCAATGGAAAAAGATGGGCCTAAATTAATTTTAGCCGGTGGTGGCCCAGGGCCGTTAGGTAGCAACCCGCAAAGTTAAGTAGCAACCACTTTTAAATAATTAAGGTCTAGGAATTGTGTCCGCGCATAGGCAATAGAATAAAAAGATTAGGGAACTCGATCCAGACGTAAACCTCATTATCTATGTTTTTGTCTGGTTTATGCGAGAAATGGTTGATTGATTCATCGTCACGTGTGTACTGTTTTTTAGCCCGAACCGTCCAATAGGAGAGTATTGGTTTAATTACCCAGTCGTGATATTACACAACGGGTAAATGAAAACATGCTATTGGTTGCTCTGGCGAAAACACCAGTGCCTTTTTTAACATACAAGCTGGGGGAGGGGGGGGGGGTGCCCCCAGCCCCCCCTTGTGCCCCCCCCCACGAAATCACATTTTGCCTCCCAGAAAAAGTCCCTTTTTCCTAAATTTGTACAAACAAACCAGCGAAGAATAACAAACAGATAAACGGAAAGTAAGTTTTAGGCTTTATCTTTGTTTTTTTGTGCGTTTTTTCCTTCTTTCATTTCAATTACAATTTACAAGTATAGTTAGCGTAAATTTTAGAGCAGAATGCAGGAAATGGCATTTCCAGGCTTCAAATTTCAAAAATTTTCTGCGAGAGTATGCCCCCACACAAATGGCCTTCCACCATTGTTTTTCCCTCCCTAATAAGTAATGATAAATTATGGTTAATATTTTTTTTTAACCTTGTGTTCGTTTTTTTCCTTCTTTTATTTCAAATACAAGTATAGTTAGCAAAATTTTAGGGCAAATTTGGATGGTCGGAATGCAGGAAATTGCATTTCCGGCCTTCAAATTTCAAATATTTTCTGGGGGAGTATGCCCCCAGACCCCCCTATTCATGCATAGTTTGTCGGCCACACACATGGCCTTCCGCCATTGCTATACCCGTAATATATTATCCGTCACAGAAAGGTCCCTTTTCAAGAACCCCCCCCCCCCCACGGGGAAATCCTTAAAAAAGGCCCTGGAAAATACAATACACAAACCAAGACAAACTCGTAGATAATTATAACAAACTCGTAGATAACTAAGGTCTGCGAAAAATGGTTGGCTGTGCATGAGTGATTTTATTGAATTTTTGCCACCTTATTCTTATATGTTTCGCCGTCAGTTGAACTGACCTCTACCAGGCATCTAGTCACTTGCGAAGCGAACGTTTTTCTCGCGAAGCCTAATTTATCCTTTCTGCTAATGAACCTAATTTCTTTCGCGCGAAATTTATGAACATACGTACATTTTGGAGTTCAGTTCGATAATTTCCATCTACAAGACGCTTGAACTATTATTGAATCGAGTGAGATGCATGGCCAACAAAATCTTGAAATTTTGGAGTTCACGCGATATTCCGTTCACTCGCGCGTGCGTGTACTCCACGCTTCCTACTCCTGGCGCATGCGCATTACTTCGTTCATACTATAATAAAAGTAAACAAATTAAATTAAACGAAGATAGAGAGTTATCGACATATTTTTTACTTTCATTTTATATGGCTTCCTCAATGACTTCAACAGTAGGAACACGCCAAGAATATATTGATAAGAGAAAAGAAGTCCTGTTACAAATAAAAAATAAGAAAATCAAAGCAGTAGATTTATACAGCTTGGCCCCATGCACTGTTAGCAAGGTGGGGATCGAATGAGATGCTTCCTGTGTGCCTTCTGTGTCAAAAATCTGTATCGAAGAAAGCGTTTGGTCTTGGGCACTTAATCCCACATTCAATACTGAAACAATCTGGACATGAGTACTTTGCAGACGTTAATCAAGGGAAGGAATCCGGCGTGTCCAACATGGGATACCGAGCTTTTTGTTCCGAATGCGAGAAAAGATTTTCAAATCACGGTGAAGTTTATTTGAACCCAAACTTTTTCAAGCCGTTTCATGAGAACCAAAATCAACCAATAGAAGTGAGCGTACGTGATATAAACGGTAACCCATGGTTGTATTTTTGCCTTATATCTATCGTATGGCGATGTTTGTGCTTCATTCCACAGGCCAAGGAGTTTCTTAATACCTTAGAATATCTGCGAGAGTTCCTTCTCAAATATCCTAATTATGATCATGATAATGATATTGACTCGAAAGTGACTTTGTTTGTATTTGCCCCGAACAGTCAACTGGAGTCAAAGTGTAAAGAGGTCAATCCGACATATAACTGTTTCTTTGATGATATGTATACTGCAAGATTTGATTATGATAACCCAGACCATACAGCTGCATGGGTTTTCATGGGACCAATCCACATTTTGATGATCTACAAGAGTACAGGTGGTGACTTGGGTGGACCATTTGAATTAAGTGAACAAGACCTGAATGAAGCGAAACAGTCGCGTATCATGTATCAAGGTACAGACACCAACATTTCTATTGGAAACAAAGATGCAAGGTTCTTCCCAATGACATCGTATTCTGCAATTATCAGTTTTGGGCTACAGCATTTGTCAAGAACATTGCGAATCTGCCCATCCAAAACAACAGTAACAGATTCAAAACTTACACCAATGCCGTTAACTTATTTGCCTCTCTTGCCAAAATCTGTTAGTTATGATGATGGAGTCTTCCGTTTTCCTGAATTCTACAAAAAAACATTTTCGCATAGTCTACCTGGTGTATTAACAATTGTGGGAGCACGTAGAGGTGAAGGTGAAAAAATAGTTTTTGTAGCTTTTGAAACAGCCTTGGCATATGTTGTAGATGGTGAGAACAAGACTGGGTCAGTTACCATGGCTTTTAAATGTGGATGGCAACGGAAACGTTTCCTACCTGAAGGATGTCGCGATTCCTCCCAAAGAAAAAGTTTGTGGGCTGGACTTGAATAAAATACCCAATCAACAAGTGATTGAAAAACAAATTAACCAATTGGTAAAATACGGTGTTGCAACATGGGAGATACCATAGGAACAAGTGGACGAACTGACACTGGAATATTAATTTAAGTGAGTTACACCTGTTATATATGTCTTAACTTTAAACCTACACCATATATATACCATTACAATATGTTTTAGATGTCTAATGCACTTCACTACAGTAGGTCTTCAAATACTTTAGCTACAAAATATTATTAATCACCGAGCCACACGCTGAGTGTGAAGCCCATGGTGAGGGTACCAATTCCGCTCGGTTATTTACGCCCGGGTAAAGGAAAGCGTTAGGGAAGTCTAAAGTTCATCAATAATTGCAGGTGCATGCATAGCTATGCATGGTGGTCATCTCACTGACCTCAAAAATATAGCTGTTTGCCAGGAGTGAAGTAAAGCAAAGATTAAAAAAACATGCATGACAGAAAGCTTGGACATCTTTTCACACAATAGGTCACGCCGGGTCAGCTCTTCCCAAAAATCGGCCATCTGATATAAACTTTTTCAATATATTTCGGATGGACATGAAACTTGCTACATCAATATAACTTTCCATTCCGAACAATCGTATGTTTTTTATTTTTGAGATTTAACGGTTTTTGGCGGGAAAATGACGTCACGAAACCTCCAGTTAAAATTTATTTCAATATCTTAATAGTTTTTAAGCAGAATATGGAAGATCATGTCATGAAGAGTTCAAAACTGAAAAGAGATTTTAAATATCTTAATCTAATCACGAGATACAGGGAGTTTAGAATCGAATTTTCCACCATTTTGTTACTATTTTTAGATTTTTCACGGTTTTTATAGTGAAATAACTTTGGATTAGGTTTAGATATTTAAAATCCGTTTTCAGTTTTGAACTGTTCATGACATGTTCTTCCAAATTCTGCGACAAAACTATTAAGATATTGAAAGTAAATTTTAACTGGAGGTTTCGTGACGTCATTTTCCCGCCAAAATCCGTTAAATCTCAAAAATAAAAAACATACGATTGTTCGGAATGGAAAGTTATATTGATGTAGCAAGTTTCATGTCCATCCGAAATATATTGAAAAAGTTTATATCAGATGGCCGATTTTTGGGAAGAGCTGACCCGGCGTGGGTTGTAAATACGGTATGAGAAATCCTGAAGTGTCGGGTAAGTTTGTTTTTATATACTGTTTATGTACAGTATGACTTTGCTGTCCAATTTTCTCCTGATGTGTGAAGGCCTTGAACATGTATGGCTTTCCTATCCATTCAATGTGAAAGTTTAAATAATTATTATGTTGCCATGGCTAACATGATGCAATCAATGCGAGCCTGCGTTCTGTGTTGGTGTAATTAGAATACTTCATGTTGAAACAATGTTTGGAAAATGTGGGCAAGGCCGGGATTGTTGCATGCATTTCTAGTATTACTGTAAGCCCCCTCCCCCTTTCAATGTTGTATGTATTATAATTGCACACATGTATTATGGTCTGCTTACATATATCTCTGAGATATGTCCATCAATAGCATAATATGAAATAATCCGACCTACCAGCCTACACTGATTCCTATATTCACCTAGCCATGTCACAACATTTCAGGGTATTCTTATTGTGTAATTTTGCTGTCTGACTGAGTACAGTACAATCTTAGTGACTTTGTCTTAATCATTACAATGAATGGTGTCATCTGAAGCTGACATATTGAACAAAAATGTCAACGAATAGATTTTGTCTCTCCATCATCAGCAGATTGTTCAGTTGTTTTGCGACAGGGGTAGCCTTGAAGGTGGCTTAAAACGATAATTGCCGTAGGGACAATAACTGACTTTAATAGTATTTCTATATTTGATATTATACAGTATTCAGTGGTGTGGCAAGCTAGCCATGGCAACTGGTCATGCTATGCTAATAAACCTGCATGATTTGAATAATACAAATCATTAAAAACTTTCATAACATGACCCCAGCTATGGCTAGCTTTGCCACAGACATGCTATGGCTAGCTTTGCCACAAACAGTGTTATAATTATACATATACAAAAGCAAGAAATAATTATCAGAATTGATGGGATTCATATAAAACTGCCCATGACAAGAAAGTAGAATATAGTATTTAGATGAGCTTCAACTTTGTGCAAGGTGTTTGATATTCAAATTGCACTTTTCCTACCTCCTGAAAAGGCATCTTAGGGGCTGTTTACATGTTGGAGGGTGGTTGAGTTGAAATAAGTCATACGCTAAACGAAAGTTCAAATGTTAATGGAACTCAAATTTTGTAGCCTGCGAGCAGGCTCTCTGGGGAAAGAGAGCCTGCAAGGATCCCTTTGATGATTCGGTGCATGCGTCCAATATTTGGACGCAGTGCTCTGATTGGTTGATAACTGATTCATATGAAGTGATTGACAAGCTTCCATAAACTTGCACTTCCCGTTTGTAAAACCGAGCAACGCAAAGCTTCGGAATTGCGACAATGTAGAGATAAAAGTGTTATGTATTTTGATCCTGGTTGACTTTTTACTGTAAATTAATATAGTATTCATATAAAGACGAATACTAAAAGCTTGCATGCTTTATTGTGTCCTTGGCTTGTCTGACTCCTAAGCTAAGAATAATTCTTGAGAAAGACTGCACAAATTCGCAAACCGAAACCTAGGGACAAGGCATTATATCGCTTCTCTTTTATGAAACAATATTGGCAATTCTGATAATATTCAGTGCATATTGTGTGTATTAAGCTTGTTTTACAATGTTATACTGACTATTTAATATTTATAAGTATGCGGCGTTAAAATGTACAGTAATTTACTCGTCACTTTGTTTACAATAATTATCACATGCATGTTTACTGCAATTCCACTTTTTGTTGCAAAATTTGAACTATAAACATATTATTATGTCCATGGTATATCATATATGTCTATGTCTCACCAAAGCCATAAATTTCAGTAAGTTATATTATTACTATATATATAGACTGTATACAGTGTATATTATATATTGCAGCACGAAGCAATTCCAAATAACTGAATTAGTTAGCGGGTAATATACAACTTTAAACTTACTGTGCCTACAGGAGAAACACATACAGATTGTAATAAAAAGTACAACTTGATATATTACTCTGTAAAACCTCGAGCCGTTTTAACTTTTTTAGTATGCCACAGTGGCGGTCTGTATACGAAACTATTACAGTAACGAATTTGAAACGAATCGGTTTATGTTTACAATATCGTAGTGTATTCCGGTCTGCGCTGATTGGTTGTTATTAATTGACCTGTGACATCATAATTGAAGGGCTGCACGCAATCATCATAGGGATCCTTGCAGGCTCTCTTTCCCCAGAGAGCCTGCTCGCAGGCTAAAATTTTGTAGAGAAGATCTTGTAGTTCAAGAAGATTATTATTGCTGCTTGAACAAGTTCTTTCGTTTACAGTCGAGTATAATCTATCTCTAGAAAATAATGTGGGTTTTGGCTGAATTGTGCACTGTGACTTATTTCAATACATCAAAATAATCCTGCCTCAAATCTCATCCTGGCAAAGCAAGATGATATAAACAGCCCTTTATTCTCATTATTCAGCATATTGTGCATGCATGCTACCGTTGATCCCTTGGCAGGGACGTGCTTAGCTAAATTATTAAAAACTTTCTTTCGGGGCTTTGGTGGCGAACGCAAGTTCAAGTCTGAGTGAGAACTTTCTCGACGTGACTCGAACCCAGTCCTCATGGACTGTTGTGGTGACCCTGTTGTGGTGACCCTGCCCTAGTTGGCAAAGTTAATTTAAGTAAATAAATATGGTTGGGGGGGGTGCACTTGAAATTTTGTCCCCCCATTGTTGCGGGGCCATTTGTTTTCGAAAAATGTTCACGGGAGGAAGGAATGGAAGGTCAATGTTATCTTGCGAAAATAAAACGTCTCAAACACTTTTTCCAAACTGCCCTGTCTCTTGGGAATGAGGCAGCATTTTCCTTGCGATAGAAACTTCTAGTTATACATTGTAGTCACTATGTGTCTTCTGATTGGTTTGTAGATTACAGCTAGGAATTCATATATGTCAGAATATAATTCAGTTATTTGCTAATATATACAGTAAATGAGTTAAAGTGTAAGTTGAGCCAATGGAATGTAATTTTATAGCAAGCGGAGAGGCGCAGTTTTAAGTACTATTTAAAGCACGCGTATAGGAGTGTTTTATCAGATATAAAACGCGAGGAGCAGCCGAGCGTTTTATATCTGATAAAACACGACTACAAGTGCTTTAAATGGCTTAAAAAACGACTCTTCTTATTCGAGTTCATTGGCGAAGTAATTTTGTCTAAACCGAGAAAATCAATGCTAAAGCTTATGTAAATTAACATGATTTTTATCACATATAAAATCACGACACGCTTATGATTTTCTTTGTGTTTTGCTCCTGAATTGTTAATGAGTTTTTTTGAATACAAATAATATTTTTGTGAATGTTTTTCAATCATTTTTATCTGCACTTTAGTAGGTAAATGAAATTTCTAATATTTTTGTGCTGTTATTGTGATATCTTTCTCACTGCTTTGTTTGAGAACCACATGTTGTTTTGTGTGACAAATTATTGTTTGTCAAAAGAGTTATAAAAATGAAATTTATGCGTTGTACTGTATAATAAAACAGTTATTGAATTTGGTTTTTGTGATATCTTGACTTACTGTAGTAACAACATCTCGGCAGGTGTTATCAATGTCCCCTTTGGCTCGTCTGATAACACTTACCTTGACAATTCTGGATATCACAAAAACCTCTAATTGTTTAAATAAATGTTGACATTTACTGTAGGTGATAAATTTTGATTTCAACTCATCTCAATGGCATCATTTACTAGTAATTGATTATTTACTGTAACTCATTTAGTTGCATTGCGGCCTAATGAGCCTTACTTTATAATTTTACTGTGTCGAACGCCAAATGACTTCACTTCTTATTTAAAGGGGTGATTGCTGGCGCTTAATGGGTTTTAAAAACATTGCATGTATTTCATTAAATTCATTGTTATTGAATGAGGTTGAGCAATATATGGAGTCATAAAACAGACAAAGTAGGAAGAGGTCGTTCTT